TCAACCATCATATGACCTTTCAGTGAGTCCTCATCTTTTTGCTGGTGGAGGGTCTTGCCTCAGTGTTGATGGCTGCCGACCACTTAGGGTGGTGGGTGCTGAAGGCTGAGGTGACAGTGGCAATTTCTTAAAATAAGACAACAGTGAAATCTGCCACATCAATTGACTCCTCCTCTCACGAACGATTTCTCTGTAGCATGCGATGCTGTTTGATAGCATTTGACCCACATAGAGCTTCTTTCAAAATCAGAGTCCATCCTCTCAAACCCTGCTGCTGCTTTACCAGCTAAGTTCATGGAATATTCTCAATCCTTTGTTGTCATCTCAGCAGTCTTCACAGCATCTTCACCAGGAGTAGTTTCCATCTCAAGAAACCACATTGTTTGCTCATCAATAAGCAGCAACTCCTCATCCACTGAGGTTTTATCAGGAGATTGTAGCACTTCGGTTACATGCTCAGGCTCCACTGCTGCTTCTAGTTCTCTTGCTGTTGCCACCACATCTGCAGTGACTGCCTCCACTGAAGTCTTGACCCTCATAGTCATCCAGGAGGGTTGGAATCAAGTTCTTCCAGAGTCCTCCTGCTCATGTTGATATTTTGACCTCTTCCCATGAATCACAAATGTTAATGGCATCTAGAATGGTGAATCTTTCCCAAAGGTTACCTATTGACTTTGTCCACATTCATCAGAGGAATTACTATCTATGGCAGCGAGAGCCTTACGAAACGTATTTCTTAAATAGTAAGACTTGAAAGTTGAAATGACTCTTTGCTCCATGGGGTGTAGAATGGATGTGTTAGCAGGGGTGAAAACAACATAAAATTTCACTGTACATCTCCATCAGAGCTCTTGGGTGACCAGGTGCATGGTTAACAAGCAGTAATATTTCGGAAGGCATTTTTCTGATCAGCAGGCTTAAAATATTCTGTAAACCATGTCGTAAACAGATGGGCTGTCGTCCAGGCTTTCTTTTTGCATGGATAGAGCACGGGCAGAGTAGATCTAGTATCATTCTGAAGGACCCTGGGATTCTCAGAATAGTAAATGAGCATTGGCTTTAAGTCACCAGCTGCATGAGCCCCTAACAAGAGAGCCAGCCCATCCTTTGAAGCTGTGAAACCAGGCATTGACTTCTCCTCTCCAGCTGTGAAAGTTCTAGATGGCGTCTTCTTCCAGTAGAAGGCTGTTTCATCCACACTGAAGATGTGTTGCTGAGTGTAGCCACCTTCATTTGTCATGTTAGCTCCATCTTTGGGAGAACTTACTGCAGCTTCTACATCAGCACTTGCTGCTTGACTTTGCACTTCTATGTTGTGGAGATGGCTTCTTTCCTTAAACCTCCTGAACCAGCCTCTGCTAGCTTTAGACTTTTCTTCTGCAGCTTCCTCACGTCTCACAGCCTTCATGGAATTGAAGAGCATTAGGGCCTTGCTCTGGATTAGGCTTTTGCTTAAAGGAATGCTTGGGCTTGTTTGACCTTCTGTCTAGACCACTAAAACTTTCTCCGTGTCAGCAAGAAGGCTGTTTCTCTTTCTTACCATTTGTGTGTTCAGTGGAGAAGCAGTGTACTTTCCTTTAAGAACTTTTCCTCTGCATTCATAGTGTAGGTAATCCATTTGGTGCAAGGGGCCTAGCTTTTGGCCTGTCTTGGTTTTCAACATGCCTTCTTCACTAAGCTTAGTCATTTCCAGCTTTTGATTTCAAGTGAGAGACATAGGACTCTTCCTTTCACTTGAATACTTAGGAGCCATTGTAGGGTTAAAGTTAGCCTAATTTCAATATTGTTATGTCTCAGGGAAGAGGGAGGCCAGTGGAGAGAGTGAGAGACAGAGGGAGGCTGGTCAATGGAGCAGTCAGAACACATAAATATTTACCAAGTTTGCTGTTTTAAATGGGCCAATTTGGGGGACCTGGGTGGGGCACCTGGGTGGCTCAGTCAGTTAAGGGTCTGCCTTAACTCAGGTCACTATCCCAGGGTCCTAGGATTGAGCCCACATCGGGATTCCTGGTCAATGGGGAGTCTGCTTCTCCCTTTGTCTCTCCACCTGGCTTGTGTGCTCTTTCTTGCTCATTTCCTCTCTCAAATAAATAATAAATATTAAAAAGAAAAAAGTAAATGGGCATGGTTTTTGCACTCCAAAGCAATTACAATAATGATATCAAAGATCACTGATCATAGGTAACCATAACAAATATAATAATGAAAAAGTTTGAAATATTGTGAGAATTACCAAAATGTGACACAGAGAAACAAAGTGAGCAAATGCTGTTGGAAAAAAATGAGACGTATAAACTTGCTTGATTGCAGGGTTTGCTACAATCCTATTTGGGGAAAAAAAAAATCTGTGAATCTCAGTAGAGTAAAATGCTACAAAATGAGGTATGCCTGTATTTAGTTTTCTTTTTTGAAAGGGTTTTTTTTTTTTTTTTCGTCAAAGAGTTCTGGGCTTATTTATTTATTTTTTAGATTTATTTATTTGAGAGTGAGTGGGAGAATGAGAGCAGGGTGGGGAGAGGGAGAGAGAATTTCTGTCAGACCCCTCACTGAGCAAGAAGCCTGCCACAGTGCTCGATCCCATGACCCTGAGCTCATGACCTAAGCTGATATCAAGAGTCAGACCCCAACTGACTGAGCCACCCCTCACCTCTACTGTTTTCTTTTTGGTGCTTTTCCTTTAGTGCCTTCTCTCTCCACTGTCTCCAGCTTGCATAGCTCCCTATCAAAAGTCTGCTGCCATTACTCTCTCTGCTCCTTTGGATACACTCCACCCCACCTCCCGCCCTGCCCCACATCCTGCCTGCTTTGCCCTCGGGTTTCACCAACTTCATCATGAGGTACCTTCACATAGTTTTCATTAGGTTGACTCTACATGGGATGTGTTGAGCTTCTTGTGCTTGTGGGTTTATAGTTGCTGACAAATTTGCAAAGCCATGGCCCTTATTTCCTCAGGTATTTTTTTCTGACCCTCCCCATCACCTCCATCCTCCTGGGACTCTGAGGACATGTGTTAGATCACTAGATATTATCCCACAGGTCCCTGATGTGCTGTTCACTTTTTTCCAGTATTTTTGTTTTTCCCCTCACTTTGGATAGTGTCTTTGGCTATGTTCTCATCAGCTGTAAGTCTTCTGAAGGTCTCATTTTTCATTCAGCTATTATATTTTCCACCTTTGTATGTTCTGCATATACGTTCCATTTGTACTTCATCATATTCCTATTTTCTTCAGTCTTCAACATACACAGCAAACTCAGGATCTTGTCCTAACCTCCTTGCGTGTGAATTCCATCATCCCTGCCATTTCTGGTGCTTTTCTGACCCACTTTTCTTCTGGATATGGGCTATATATTCCCGCTTCTTTACATGCCTGTAGTTTGTTTTGTGTGTGTCAGACACTATACATCTTATATTCCTGAGTGCTGGATTTCATTATATTCCTTTAAATAGTGCCAGAAACATTTACTATTTTTTTTTAAATTTTTAAAAATTAATTAATTTATTTGCCTGCAGTTAATTTACTTGAACTCAGTGGATCTGTTGGTGGCTTGCATTTCAGCTTTGCTGTAGGAGGAGTACAGACCAGCTTTCAGTCTTAGTCTGGGTCCAGTTCAGTCCTTTTACTAAGTTGATACCCTTCTGAGAATCCTCCCTGGAACTTCCTTTGTTGTTGCTGTTTTGTTTTTTGTTTTGTTTTGTTTTGTTTCTAATTTCTCTGTACTCTAGCTAGTGGGAACACAAACTATTCCCAGCTCTGTGTGAGCTCTAAAAATTGTTCTCTCTGCTCCTATCTCATGGTTCCTTCCCAGTCTTGGCTAGTTTTTTTCCTCACTTATGTGTAGAGCAGTAGCCAGTCAGAGTTTCGGGGGCTCCCTCTGCAGATGTTGGAGGCTTTTTGTCTGGGCAGCTCCCTGTCGTAGGCACTCTGCCCTACACACCCGCTACCTTGGCCTTCATGAGCTCTGGTCTGTGTGTGCTCAGTTCGGTAGAACTATGGGGCTCTTTCCTGAACTGTAGCCCAGAAACTGCCTCCCCATAGTAAGCTTGTACAGTGAGGGGATCGCCTTCCTTCTTCCCTTTCAAGCCTCACAGTCATGTCATTGCGTGCTTGTCCACATTGCTGGATTGTACACCATCAGGAGTGAGCCCCAGTGTAATCTGTAGGCTGTGGGTGATGGTGATAATTTAGTGTAAGCTCCTCTTTTGTAACAAACGGGACCACTCTGTTGGGAGATGTGGATAGTGGGGCAGGCTGTGTGTGGAGATAGGGAGTATGTGGGAAACCTCTCTATGTCCCTCTTGATTTTGCTGTGAACCTAAAAACTGCTCTAAAATAATTAAATCTTAAAAAAATGTGCCATACTTAATTTTTAACACCATTTGGAAATCTGAAGTCATTTTGATAGAGAAACATCAAATGTGTAACTTGGCTTTCTTAAAAATTTCTCACATCTGCTTACAATATGGTGTTACTTCATTCTGACCATGATTTTGCATTTGCTAATTGAATGTGGAAGTGACAGAGACTTTGAGAATGTACTGTCGCTGAGGTTTTGCCAGTTTGAGAGTGAAGAACAATTCTGTAAAAGAGGAAACCATTCATCTTGTAGTTGGTTTCTGAGGTCAGTATTCCCATGACCTTGAGCTGAAGGAGGAATGACTCACTTTCATTGTAGGGGCTGAGAAGAAATGACCCCACACAAATTCACTAAGTTTAAGTTGTGTCCATTTCTTAGGAGAAGAAAAGAGTATAGACTCTAGGACAGTGTTTCCCACAAGCTGTTCAGCAAACATCAGTTTCCTGTGGTGTTGCCAGATTGGCTGGGGTGGGCAGTCAGGAAATTTCTTTGGCCAAGCTCTGGGCAAGTGGGTCCTTCTTAAAGACTCCAGCTATACTAACATACAGAAATGTGTTCGCATTTGTGTGAGCCCGATTTTCTCAAAGTCCTCCTGCCTGGATCCTCTGTGCCGCTGATTAATATCTGTACCTGCTTGCTTGCAGGTCAAGAGTCAACTGAAAGAAAACTGACCAAGTAAATGCTGAATCCCTGTCTTAGGAACATGCTGCATTTCAGGGTCCTGTGACTTGCTTGCCGCATGTCAGCATGGCAGGTGAATCTGGGAGAATGAAGGCAGGGGGTGGTATGCGGAGAGGGGTCCCTTATTGTAGATACGAAGGCTAGCAGGCTGTGACCTTAACCACTTTATTCATCCCTATAAAGACATGCTTTCATAGGGGCACCTGGGTGGCTCAATGGGTTAAAATGATCCCAGAGTCCTGGAATCGAGTCCTGCATTGGGCTCTCTGCTCAGCAGGGAGCCTGATTCCCTTCCTCTCTCTTCTGCCTACTTGTGATCTCTGTCTGTCAAAAAAATAAATAAAATCTTAAAAAAAAAAAAAGACATGCTTTCATAATCAAGTAAAAACCTTATTTTTCCTATAGGTCTTCATTCTTTGGAGTCAGTGAGCCAAGCTGTTGTTATTTTTTTTTTAATAATAAAGCTCAGATGCTTAGGCTACAGTCCAAACGTAGGACTCAAACCTCCAGAGGGCCAGGAGTGTCCATTCGGAAAGGGCACCCCTGATGGGTCTGAAGCAGCTGGTGCCCTGGGCTCACAAGGGGGTCAGCAACACCCACATTGTCCTCTGCGAGTGGCCACAGGGTGCACCCTGTCCTGATGGTCAGCTCCTATCTACTTTTTCTTCCTTATGAACATGGTCTTTGCAACCAGCTTTTCTGGAGCAGGGGAGGAGAGGAGGAGGGAAGTGGGAACGATATGGGCAGTGCCACCCGGCTGGGTCTTTTGACGGAATGCTGGAGGACCCGAAGGCACACGGGCCAGGGCGGCTGCCTGCTGAGGGGTGACTGTAAGTCATCAAAGGGTCAAAGCAAGGCCCTATCAGACCTGCACTATCAAGTCAGCGCCCAGTGGCTCAAGAGTACAGAGCTGGACTAGTTCTCCAAGTCAGCGAGCTGGAGTTCAAGTGTGAGTGTCCCTCGTGTACTCAGAAACCGATCTGGTGATTTAGCCACGAGGAGCTTAGGAAACAAAAAGTCTGACGTCCTAAAGCCTCTGAATAATCAAACACGATTCTTGGAGTACCTGGGGGGCTCAGTCAGCTGAGTGTCTGACTTTGACTCAGGTCACGATCTCGTGGTCCTGGGATTGAGCAGCAGGGAATCCTGCTTGTCCCTCTCTCTCCACCTTTTCCTATATGACCTTTATTTTGTTGACGTAGGTTCCTGTAACCCTACTTTGTGGAGGTTTTTTTTTTTTTTTTTAAATCATGAATGGATGTTGTACTTGATCAGATGCTTTTTCTGCATCAATTGAAACGATCAGGTGGTTTTTATCCTCTTATTTATGTGATGTGTCGTACTGATTGATTTGTGAATATTAAACCACTCCGTCTCAGAAATAAATCACACTTCATTGTGGTGAGTGATTGCTTTAATGCATAGTTGGATTCAGTTTTCTAGTATTTTGTTGAGAATTTTTGCATCTCTGTTCATCAGAGATACTGGCCTGTAGTTCTGTTTTTATGTAGTGTCTTTAATCTGGTTTTGGTGTCAGGGTGACGCCAGACAAATGGAGCGAATTTGGAGGTTTTCCTTACTCTTTTATTTTTCGGAAGAGTTTGAGATGAATAGGTATTAACTCTTCTTTAAGGTTTGGTAGAATTCACCCAGGAAGCCACCTGGTCTTTTGTGTTTTGGGGAGTTTTTTGATTAGTGGTTTAATTTCATTGCTGGCAGTTGGTGTGTTCAAATTTTCTATTTCTTCCTGATTCAGTTTTGGGGGGTTATATGCTTCTAGGAATTTATCTATCATTTCTCGGTTGTCCACTTTGTTGGCATATAATCTTATCATCATCTCTAACAATCTTTTGTATTACTGAAGTGTTGGTTTATATTTCTTGTCTTTGATTTCTGATTTTGTTTGTGTCCATTCCCCACCATGAGAGAGAGTGTGCATAAGTGGGCTGGGGAGGAGGAGAGGGAGAGAGAATCTCAGCAGGGAGTCTGATATGGGGCTAGATCCCATGACCCTGAGATCATGACCTGAGCTGAAACCAAGAGTTGGGTGCTCGGGATGCCTGGCTGGCTCAGTCGGTAGGTGTCTGCCTGTGGCTTGGGTCATGATCCCGGGGTCCTGGGATTGAGTCCCAGGTCGGGTTCCTTGCTCAGCTGGGAGTCTGCTTCTCCCTCTGCCTCTCCACATGGCTCCTGTTCCTTCTCTCTCTCTCTCTCTCTCTGACAAATAAAAAAATCTTAAAAAAAAAAAAAGTTGGGGGCTCAACCAACTGAGCCACCCAGGCACCACCCCCCCTGCTTTTTTTTACATGAGTCTGCTAAAGGTTTATCAATTTTGTTGATTTAAAAAAAAAAATCTCCCTGGGGCGCCTGGGTTGCTCAGTGGGTTAAAGCCTCTGCCTTCGGCTCAGGTCATGATCTCAGGGTCCTGGGATCGAGCCCTGCGTCGGGCTCTCTGCTCCGCAGGGAGCCTGCTTCCTCCCCTCTCTCTCCCTGCCTCTCTGCCTACTTGTGATTTCTCTCTCTCTGTCAAATAAAATCTTAAAAAAAAAAACAAAACTCCTGGTTTCATTGATCTGTTCTTTCTTTGTTTTTCACTTTGTTTTTAGTTTTTATTTCATTTATTTCTCCTCAAATCCTTATTACTTCCTTCTTTCCACTGGTTTATTCCTCTTTTTCTAGCCCCGTTAGGTGTAAGGTTAGGTTGTTTGAGATATTTCTTGTTTCTTGAGGTAGGCCTGTATGGCTATAAACTTCCCATTTTGAATTGTTTCTTCTGCATTCCAAAACTTTTGGATTGTTTGTGCTTTCATTTTCATTTGCCTCCATGTAATTTTTTTTAAAGATTTTACTTATTTATTGGAGAGCATGTGCAAATGCACAAACAGTGGGGAGGGGTAGAGGGAGAAGCAGACTCCCTGCTGAGCTGGGAGCCGGATGCGAGGCTTGCTCCCAGGACCCTGTGATCATGACCTGAACTGAGGGCAGACGCTTAACCAACTGAGCCACCCAGGGGCCTCTGTCTCCATGTATTTTTTAACTTCCTCTTTGATTTCTTGGTTGAGCAATTCATTGTTTAGTAGTCTCTCACTTAACCTCCATGTGTTCTTTCCAGATTTTTTCTTGTGGTTGCTTTCTGGTTTTGTAGTGTTGTGGTCAGAAAAGATGCATGGTATGACTTCTATCTTTTTGAATTTGTTGAGATTTGTTTTGTGGCCTAATACGTAATCTATCCTGGAGAACGTTCCATGTGCACTCGAAAAGAATGTGTATTCTGTTGTTTTAGGATGGAATATTCTGAATATTTGTTAAATTCATCTGCTCCAATGTGTCATTCAGAGCCACTGTTTCCTTGTCAACTTTCTGTTTGGATGATCTCTCTGTTGATGGAAGTGGGGAGTTAAAGGCCCCTACTATTATTTTATTACTACTGATTATTATTGACCATTTTAAGTATTTGGGTGCCCCCATGTTGAGTGCATATTTACAGTTGTTGGGGGGCCTGAGTGGCTCAGTTAAGCATTGGCCTTCAGCTCAGGTCATGATCTCAGGGTCCTGGGATCGAACCTGCGTCAGGCTCCCTGCTCAGTGGGGATCCCACTTCTCCCTCTCCCTCTTGCCCTGCTGTGTGCTCGCTCACTCCCTCGCTAATAAATAAAATCTTTAAAAAATGTTTATAATTGTTGTATCTTCCTGTTGGATCGTCCCCTTTATGATTATTGTCCTTCTTTGTCCCTTGTTAGTCTGTTTCAGAGTCTGATTTATCTAACGTCAGTATTGCTACCCCACCTTTCTTTTCACATCCATTTTCCGGATAAATGCGTCTCCATCCCTTCATTTTCATTCTGCATGTGTCTTTAGGTCTGAAATGAGTCTCTTGTAGGCAGCAAGCAGATGGGTCTAATTTCCTTATTCATTCTGTAGCTCTGTGTCTTTTGTTGGGAGGATTTCGTCCATTTACAACTGAAGAATTATTCATAGGTATGTATGTACTTACTGCCATTTTGTTAATGTTTCATGGTTGTATTTATATTTCTTCTCTGTCCCTTTCTTCCTTTGCTCTCTCACTTTAAGCTGGCTTGCTTTAGTTATCTGGATTCCTCTCTATTTTTTGCATATCTGTTACGGGGTTTTGACTCGAAGTTTACATCTTCTGCATATAGCAGTCCATAGGAAATTAATGGTTGCTTAAGTATGAAATCTGGAAGCACTAAATTTTTGCTCCTTCTTCCTCCATATTTTAGGTATGTGGTGTCATGCTTTATATCCTTTTATCTTGTGAATCCCTTGAATGATTTTTATAGGTATAGTTAATTTTACTGCCTTTTTGCTTCCTCCTTTTCTTATTCCTGCTTATGGTCCTTCCTTTCTACTCAGTCCCCTGGAACATTTTTTGTAAGGCTGGTTTAGTGGTGACAAATTCCTTTTCGTCTGGAAAACTGTCTCCTTCTATTCTGAATGACAGCCTTGCTGAGGAGAGCGATCTTGGCTGTGGATTTTTTCAACACTTTGAATATATCGTGCCACTGCCTTCTGGCCTGCAGAGTTCCTGCTGGAAGATCCGCTCACAGCCTGATGGGGTTTCCCTTGTTTATCACTGTGCTAGCTTTGAGGCACCACTTTGGATGAGCTCTGGCCTGGAGAGTATTGGGGGGGGGGGCGTGATCTGCAATGTGTGTGGGTGTGCAGCATTGGCGAGGTTTATGCATTGGTTCTCTGTAGGAGGGGACCTGCTGCTGCCCTGGGGACGGGCCGGCTAGGTTGGAGGGGTAGATCTGCAAAGTGTGTGGGTTGTGGGAGACGTGGTCTTAGAAAGGACTGCACTGGTCTTCTGGAGGAGGGAACCCACGCCATCAGGCTGGAGGCAGTGGGGTGTAGCGCAAGGACGTCAGGTAGTGAATGTCCCCACGCTGGTTCCCATAGGCAGCAGAGTGGTTTTGCTGGAGGGCGGTAGAAGGGAAATGGCACCTGGCAGCCCCTTTGTTCCTGCAGGACTCTCCCTAGCATCTCTGCCTCTCCAGACTTGCTCTGAGATCGTAACTCACTCTCCCCCCACCCCCCGTGCCCGAGGCATATTTCAACCTGCTGCTTCTATAGTATATCTGTACAGCTCCTTGTTTGCTGTGCCCCCTCCTTAAGGTGGGGACTCCATTTCCTCTTGGCCTCTGGCTCTCCCAGAGCTGAGCCTGGTGATTTGTAAAATTCCAGGGTTTAAGTCACACTAGTTATAGGAACTCATGTAATTTGGCCTCTCTGGTTTCCAAAGCCAGGTGTGAGGGCTCCTTGGTGTGATGGTCTGTTTCTCCCCCTTCCCTGTGTCCGTGGCTGCTCCCCACTGTGTCTTCACCCTTCCCACGCTCTTTGCTGTGGCCTCTTTACCTTTAGTTGTGGAGTCTGTTCTGCCAGTTTTGGGGTCATTTTCTGGGTTACACTGATGTGTTGCCTAGCTGTATCTGTGAGGGAGGTGAGCTTGGGGTCCTCCTACTCCACCGTCTTCCCAATCTCTTTCCTAAGTATGGTGTTTAACTTATGCTTACAGAACATCTCAATTTGGACTAGTCACATTTTAAGTGCTAACCTATCATTGGCCGCTCCTGTAGACGGCGAAGGTCTAGGAATTTAGCTTGTAGAATTTTTCTACTTAGGCAGAGGACTTTCTGGGTCCACTGGAATCAGAATATGGCCCTTTGGAAGTTATACCTAGTTGATTTAAAGAAAGAAATTGGCCTTTAGGAGTTTTGTACATCAGGCTTTTGTGCATTTGGTTATTGGGAGTCAGTACCTTTGACAAGTCAGCTCGGACTGCTTGCAGAACCTGTTTTCACTGTGTAAGGCTCAGAGCTAGATGTCTTACTGTGGTGAGTTTCCAAGGCAGTTCCTCTCTGTGGGAACATGGTTGTGGCAAACTGACCTCTTTTCAGTGCCTACCCTATCTTCCTACACCACTTTTGTGGCTCAAAGCCTCTACAGTCCTTGGGCTTAGCCTACTATGCCTCCCAGTTCAGCTGATACTTTTTGGCTGGCAGCCTTATGGTTTCCCATCCAGCCAATTATGAATGGTTACAAATACAAGTTTATCATAAATGCTAGGAGTACTGACTTCATGATTTAATTAATTTAATTAATCTCCTAATTTGGGTGCCCCATCTGATGTGCTAGGCAGCGTGAGTGGCCCTCTGTCCTCCTGTGTGCCAGCTGACCCACTCCCAGAACTTGAAACTGACTGTTCAACTCTTAATCTCACAGAACAAACTGAGGGTTGCCGGTGGGGAGGGAGAGGGTGGTTGGGCTACGGACACTGGGGACTGTATGTGCTATGGTGAGTGCTGTGAAGTGTGTAAACCTGGCGATTCACAGACCTGTACCCCTGGGGCTAATAATACATTATATGTTAATTAAAAAGAAATGACTGTTCAGGAGACTCTCAGTCCAAATGTCCCCTCTGCCCCCTGCCAGGTGGGCTGGTCAGCGGAGCCAGCCTTACGTCCCACAGTGGCTGGCTGGGAAGCCAGGGACGCTCGCTGCTGCCACATCAGACACCGCGCTGTGGGGCCCTCCCGTGGACCCCTCGACTTAAGAACTCTCCCTTCCCTGAACTCTGCTGCCCTTCCCCTCGCCCGCCCCTTTCCCCATCTCTCTCCTCCACGTGCTCATCTTAACACTGTGCTCCACATATGAGCCGTCACCAGAATCACCTCACCACTGCTTCAGAGTACAGGCTTCCGGGCCCTGGGCGCAGTGGGGAAGCTGGGACATGTGCTGTGAGAAATCCCCCAGGGGGTCCGACAACCAGGCCGCGAGACTGGGTTTAGGTGACGGCATTTAAAAATATCTCTTCTCTAGCTCCCAGAGGGACTGGGAGAAAAAGGTCACCCGAGGTATCCTGACGGCCTGTCCCCACATTTACTCACCTGCGTGGAACCTCTGCTCTGGTCAGAGCAGGGACTCGTAGAGCAGGGTGAGGGCTCCTCTGTCGACTCCTCTGGAAGATTCTTCTCCTCGGCCCCACCCATTATAGTACCCCTTTCTCTGCTGGCCCCTCCCCTGATGCCACAGCCTTCTTTCTTCCTTTCTCTTCCCGCATCTCTCTTTGTGCCTTCTGTTATGCTCTGCCTGCCTGTTCATTCTTCTGAGGCCGTCCTTCTGCAGAGGAAGGCCCCCCTCTTGGTCTCCGGCACCCTCCAGCAGGGAGTGCTTAGACCTGCCCGGGGAGCTCATCGGTCAGCTTTGCCTGAACTAGACTGAGAGCAAAGAGAAACCTCTTTGCCCATCCCCTTCCTCTCTGCCCAGGCATAGTCTGTGATTCCTGACACCTGACCATGGCCGCAGCTCTTGGAAGAAAAAATGAGCAAACTGGAAGGCGGATGGGTAAACAGACTGTGCCCAATTGCACGGACCCTATAAGCTGGGATTGCCCCAGACCTCCCCGAGTCACTACTAGTAGACACCCGCGTGCTGCAGTAATGGGGCTGCATCACGTGACCGCCAGGTCCTCCTTCACCTTCGAGATCATCCTATGGAATGTTGCCTTTCGTTTGATTACAAGCTGGTATGTAATTTGGAAACATCACCAAATACTGTCTTCAACATCCCTTTCTGCCTGTCCTTTCTCCTTACTTCCAGCTCCACCTATACTGGGGAGGAGGAGGAAATTACCAGATTTTATTTAAAAAAACAAAAAAAAGGCCCTCTAATTCAGAATTTGCAGCCTTGTTTCAGAGTTTCTAGGGAACAACTTGTGACAAAACACACAGTTGTTCCTCGTGCGCACAGGGACCTGTGGCGGTGTACATCTGAGCTACAAAACTGGGTTCTCACCTCCCCTCTGTCTGGGCCCAGTTCTGTTCATGAACGTGCCCGTGTATGCTGACGACAGCCCCTTCCTCAGCTCCTGAGAGGCAGCAGGACCCCCATGTAGCCGGCATGGAGGGGCACGGTCACCACAGCCAGGCCCCTGACATGGTTCCCTCCTGGCACATCGAGGAAACTTGTGTGAGGCAGTGGGGACAGAAACAGAGTCATGCAGAGTTTGTGCAGGGTCTTGGGTCTTTCCTACAACCTCAATGTTGTAAAAGACCGTTCTTGCCCCTGGTGGCTCGATAATAATTATCAGCTGATACTTCAGAGGTACTTAGTACCCGCCAGGGACTGTTCTAAACACTCGATGTAAATGAATTTATTTCCTCCTTCCCAAAGCCTTAATGAAGTAGGACCATCGTCCCTGTGTTACAGGTGGAGAGGCGGAGGCCCAGCGAGATCCGGGCCACTTTAAGGCCACACAGTGAGGAAGTGCAGGGGCCGGGGTGACCCTGGGGCCACCTAGTTCTAGAACCTGTCCTTCTATCCAGTGCTCCTTTGCCCCTGACGGAAGCTGCTATGTCAGCAGAAGACACCAGGCGTCCAAACCTCCCTCTTGCTTCCTCCTCGGGCAGCTCGCGTGTGCTCACCAGCCGGTCTAGCACGTTCTGACTTCACTACGGCTTCGCTCGTCATAGAACTTTGGTCTTGGAGCCCCTGCAGCCCAGCCAGACCCTGGTTCCTGGGAGGGACGCCGTCCCAGGCATTCGGATTGCTACAGGACAGCTCTCTAGCTCGCAGGTCCCGGCACCCCCTCTTCCTCTCCTCTGGGCGTCCGGCTGTGTCCTCTGGCTGTGCCCTTTCCCACCAGGACGCCCCGCCCCTTACCTTCAAGCCGAGGGCCAGCTCCGTCAGCGAGCGCCGGATCTCACGGGCGAGGACGTTCATCCGCTCACACTCCTGGAAGGCGACCACGATGTAGGGGCTGCGCTCCTCCACTTTGGCCAGCAGCTCTGCCATGTTAAACTCGTCCGTCATCCGCTCCTGGATTTCTTCCAGGAGGGTCTTGACCTGCCCCGCGATGGGAAACACGGGGTTACGAAGGGCTTCTAACCCCCCAGGACTCCGGTCCCCTGTGACCCGCTGGTCAAGATGCCGGTCGGCCATCCCGGGACTGTACTCCCGCCTGCCTGCTCAGGTCAGCTGCTCAGGCCTTGGGGACGGACCGTGGGCTGAGCAGCTACCAGAACACACACACCCGTTTGAGTGTGGCTTTCCGAGAGTCGGGAGTTGGGGAAACCCGGGGGCTGGCACTTCGTGGTGCGGATCGGACTGGAAGGACTCGGGGTCGCCTCGGGTGGTTGCCCCACGAAGCTGGAGCGACCAGCGGAGGGATGAATGGGTGTGTGCTCACGCTCCCCATTCTCCCTGTTTCCCTGAGGCCTCACTGCACTTTCTGTCCTCAGGTCCGTCACGGAGGCCTCCTCCCAGCCCCACGGTTCCTTTCACCACAGACTGTCAGCTAATTAGACCAGGGGAGCTGGAACCACCAGGATGTCTCTCCCGGAAAACTAGAACCGAAGCACGGAGATCCTGGGTTATCCCGGGGCAGGCACGTAGAGGCTGAGTCTGCCATTTTGCAGTAAACGAGTAAGCCCAGGAGGTCTGTCAGCAGAGAGAGAAAAATGGAACGAGTGCGGACATAATAGAACATGTAGCCAGCAGGGAGCGGGGAGGTAGGGCGCCAGCGAGAGGAAGCCAGCCCTGCCTGGGTCACGAGAGCTGGGCTCCCGGGCACCTGCTGGGGTGGGCGTTGTTCATCATCTCCTGTAACGGCTTGTGAGACCCCCTCCTCCCCGTGGTCCTGGGGTGCTGTCACGAGTCCGAGCCTCCTCCAGTCTGAGGAGGCCAGCCAGCTCCTCATGCCCAGGAGCGGGAGAATGTGAATCTCGAGTCTGAGATTCAGGGACGGGTTGTGGCCAGAGCCACTGGCCCGAGGGCCCTGAAAGGATGCTCTTCTTTCTCCCTGGGGCCCTGGAACCGTTGGGTTTCTGTTCTTTCTTGGCTTGGTTCCTTTGACACAGTGGGCTCATTTCTTGCCTGTTTCAGCTAAATTTGTCTCTGTTGCTTGCAGCCAAAGACCCTTGGCTGAGTTAGTACCATTCTGTTAGGTATCACCTACGTGAGTGTGAGCAAGTCAGCTGGGCCTTGTTTTTGTTTTTGTTTTTTTTTAAATCTATAAAGATTTCCAAGAGCATCTTTCTTTCCCCGCGCCTCTCCCCCAACTCCCAGGGCTGGCAGAGATCAAATCGAGGGAGCTGATGGATGTGGCAGCATCTGAAAGCTGTGCAGAGCTACAGAAGGATTATTAATATTCACTTTGCCTTGTATCGTTAACACACAATACCGTCTCTCGGAAAAGAGCTGATGTCTGGAAAAGGAAAGTAAAGCCTCCTCTTCCTGTCAGAAAGGGCTCTCTGGAGCCACCACAGCAAAAACCAGGACAGAACTTTAACAGTACCTGAGAGCTGCTGCTGGCGGAGAAGACAAATGCCAAAATTATATCATGTTTCTATCGCTGGAGCGGAATTTGAAGAAATAGCCCTATATCCATGAGCTGCCACTCTGACACCACACAAAGAGATGAAAAGATAGTCTGTAGGCGCGGTCCCAAAATACACGGAACAGAGTTCTCTTCTGTCCAGAGTGGGGCGAGCAGGATTTGGAGACCAGGCCTGAGGTCAGGGAGGTCAGCTAGGGAAGGGAGCGGGTGCTCAGACCCGGGGTAGCCCAGGACAGGGAGGACTGCTAGGGAAGCGGGGGCGGGGGGTGCCCAAGGGCCTTCAGATGGGAAGAGAGGGCTGCAAGGGATGTGGTCTAATTTTTTCCACAAGCAAACTCCTCTGCCTTTTTATTTTTCTTTTTGAGAAATAAATGGTTACTGTAAAAAGCTAAGCATTATAGATAGTTACAATATTAGGAACAAAATCCTGTCACAATCTTGTCTCTTCCCTCTGAGGCGGGAGAGAGAATGTTAACTGCTCTGTGTTTCTAATTCCTGCAGACGTCCTTCAGTACACAGAACTCTGTCCATCTCATATTGATGATAACTTCTCCGTCCTCTCTTCCTCTCCCTGTGCCCACTCCAGCCTTCCCCCTTCCTCTGCCCTCTCTGTCCGTCTATCACTAGTGGAGTCATACTACACTTGCTTTTCACCTTGTAATAAATCCTGGACAGATTACAGATACACACAGATTTGCCTGTTAAAAAACAGTATGTATTTTCTGTGCGTACTGTGATGTACAGAATGTGCTATATGTACACATAGAATAGTATATAATACATCTATTAGGTCACTGTTTGGTGTACCACGATTTATCGTTTACTTCCCTTCTGATGCCTGTTTGGTCCTTTCATTTGTACTATAATCAATTTGTAATAAATACATATATACCATAAAATCTGTGTACTTTGGCGTGTTTCCACTGGCTGACTTTCTAGAAACAGAGTTACGGGTAAAAAAATATGTACATTTGAAATGTTAGTAGCTATTGTTCTGGAAGTGAAACCTCCACCAACAGAGGGAGAATGCCCGTTTTCCGACGCCCTCATCACTGGGTACTATCGCCTTTAAAACTGTACCATTAAGTGAAAAATGATATTTCACGTACCTTCATGGAGTCGGGAGTGACACTGAGAACTGCTGTTTTCATTGGTCCTTCATATTACTGTGACTTTGTATCCCTCTGTCCCCCCGCTCCCGTCCTCTCTTCCTCCTCACCTGAGAACTCGTGTATTAGCAAGATTGCCCTGTTCCCAGTGAGCGTGGCAGAGTTTCTCTTAGCTTGTCTCTGACTTCATTCACGGTGTTTTAAGCTTTGCACATCTTTCAAATTTTTCCAGTCACCGGACTTGTCAATCTTTATCGATTCGGAGTTGTTTTTAAAAAGGGTTTGTTTTTAAAAAGCCTTCTTTGTATGATCATAAACTCATTCACCAGGTGTTCTTTCAGTACTTGTTACGTTTTCATTTTAAAAATATTTCATTGCGGCCATCTGAAAGGTGCTGTGGTATAAGGAGTCAGAGCACCGGTTTCGCTTTCCTCAACAGGACGAGCCACTTGTCCAATACTAGTAAAATCCAGTAGTCGAGGGCCCGTGGGGGACACAGACCCTCTCATCCCCTATACAGGAAGGGTGTAGGTTTGAGGGAGGCCCTGCAGCCAGCGCGATGGGCTGGGTCGTGTCCCCCCTAACGCACATGTTTTAAGATACCCCCCAGTATCTTAGAATGTGACTGTGTTTGGAGACAGGACCCTTAAAGAGGCAATTAAATTAAAATGAGGCTATGAGGGGCCCTTACTCAATCTGACTGGCGTAGGAAGAGGACAGATGCACAGAGAGACACAACAGGGGCCCATGAGCTCAGGGGGAAGGCCTCACGAGGCCACAGGAGAAGAATGCCATCCACAGGCCAAAAGAGAAGCCTCAGAAGAAAAGCAACCTTGCTGACACCTTAACCTTGGACTTCCAGCCTCCAGAGTGGTGGGAAAATACACTTATTGTCCAAGCCTCCCGGTCTGTGGGACTCGGTGATGGCAGTCGGGCAAATTAATGTGGCCAGGCACCCCCCGATGAGCAGAGGCACTTGGGGACAGCAGTTCCAGCTCAGGTCATCAGAGGAGCCCACAGAGTCCCTAGAAGAACATCCAAGCGGGGGCCGAAGACAGTGGGAGGCGGCCGTGTCTGCCCCCCACTGCCCGCCCCGGTGCCTGGAGGCCCAGCGGGACACCTGTCCCAGGTGCTCATTCAGATGGAGGCGGGCAGGGAGCAGATCCGCGCCATGTGCCCCTCTAGGTTACCTCCACGTTTTCTGTTCTTTGCTGCTCCGCTGAGCTGTTGTGTTGGTGTGAAGGAGGACGTGTGAGCCCAGCACTCATGGCCCAGCTGCTTGAGCAGCACACGCACAGCCCCCCACCCGGTGTGGCGCATGGAGTCCATTCCCCTCTGTAACACACACACACACACACACACACACACACACACACACCCGTCATTCCTGGAGCTGGACACGGGGGATGAGGACCTTCCGGGAACCAGCAGCTTCTTGGAACCCCGCCCGGAGAGCCCTGTCTCTTCCTTGCGTAGCCCTGGCCTTTTCAACGTTAGGGCTGGAACAGTTTTCATTCCAGCTGGCTTGGCTTCTGGGCGGCATAACCTTTCTTTTCTTCCTTTTGTTCTCAGATTCTATCTGACGCCATCAGATAGTGGGGTTGGCTGAGCAGTGTGATGCAGAGCTGCCTTCTCGAAGGACGCTCGCCAGCCGGGTCACCAGGTTCCCGTGCCTAACCCCACTCCAGAGGCACAACTCCAGGCTCCTGGGCTTGCCCGGCGGTGTACTAAGATCTGAGGACCACCCCATGGCACCACTCCACACCTCTGAACGGAAGTCCAGCTACTTCACTAGGAGGCGGGTTGTTT